TGGAAACGGAAAACTAACTGTTTCTCGGTCGTAGGATTACAGGCTGCCGTGATGATGTGCTGGTCACGAGCCTGACATATTCGTTCTCTCCAGGGTCCAAAATCTTAAATGATAATATCCAAAGTCCCTATACTAAACAGTTACAGTGGCGCTCTCATCTAAAAGTCCTTCATTGACACATTGTTGGTAATACTGGTGACAGGTGAGCGACTATTATGTTCTCAAGGTCACTGCTCCATAAGTTTAGATGGTTAGGGAAAAATTACATTGTCACGTGTATGCAGTGTGACTGTAAACGGGGTCTGGATTGTTGATCATATTTATTGGATTCTTTGATAGAGCGCGTGACTACGCTTTACAATTCACTATTACACACACACTAGTGCCCACAGTCAAGTCTTTATTAGCCGTTGCTCGGTAGCGGCTTCCAACTGCGGACGTCCTACTTCCTCTGTGTTCCCGAACTACCCTCGACCTCACCTACCAGCTTCTCACAGTAACGGCTTACAACAAGTGAGTCTCAGCAGTTTTCTCACTCACCAACCAATTAATTCGCTCAATTCAACTGACTCTCAGTAACTAACTGCTCTGCTTGTAATATTTCGGCAAGGACCGCACAGGAAATACCGTTTCTCTGTTGCTGTTTACCTGCCGTTTCCCAGTTGTTTGTTTCGCGGTCGTTTCCTAGCAACAGCTGTATATGCCACAATATTAAAATGAGTGAAATTAACTCACACGTTTCCTGTATTTTGTGGTTTTGAAGTAGAAGACACAACGACAATTTCTGTGTGACAAGGGCGCTTTCCACGCACAGCGTCATCGTGATTGTAGCTTCATCATTTCACCAAATAACTAGATTTAAGCGGCAAAGTTTCTGACTTGTGTTCGAGAGATATCAGGTTCGAATCTCGGCCGGGACACTGGTTATTTTGACTAAGGTTTCTCTCAGTTCCTATAATTAAATATCTGGATAGCATCTTAAATTGGGCCATTACCGATCCCGGCAACAAATTTTCCAATACTCACTCTAATCCAATCATTCGAAATTATACAGTCTTGAGTTACTAACATGAACTATGAGTACAAAAATATAAGACTGAACTTTTCAATTGATTACGCCCAAGATATCTCGCTTAGAATCTCCTGCCCCTTATGGCTTAATTTATTTATTTAAGATCAGAGAAAGAAATACGTCCCACTATCTTTCAACATTAAAGCTAATATTTCATATCTTCCAAGAAGATAAATTTTACATTAACATGAAAATATCCCTGTATACAGAGAAAAAGATTCTTCACATAAAAGCAAGTGTGTGGAGTGCGAAATAACGTTACAAATTACTTCCCTTTTCCGTTAATGGATGTGTGTTTACATTATCGTTAGTTGATTTTCTCTTAGAGAGAAAATATGTTTCGACGTTCTTAGGATCAGAACTTCGTAGAGAGTGTGACGCTATTGCTGGTTGTGAGGGGAGAGTAGCACCCTTTCTCTTATCAGTATGCTCAAACATATTGCATGTTTACTTAGTTTACTTAGGACAAACAGAACCTCGCACTCAATGTTGATACTATATACCATAAAATTTAGTATCGTCACATCGTGAAAAAACGTTACGTTTTAGCTGTTATAGAAGAAGCTTGTCTCTCTTAGTGTATTTGTATGGTACAATAGATTTACGCCACACAAAAGCCACGAAAGATTGGTTTCAATTATTAAGAAAGGGAGAAAAGTTTTTAGATTCCTTTCACTAACATTGCTAAAGATGAAAGGTAAACTTATCCCTGTAACAGACCGTGAAGGCCCATAGACTTGTGAGAAGTGTGTCTGCCACACGTTCCAGACAATCGGCTCACAGATGGCGGTCGGGTTTTCAGACTTACGCGCCGGCCGCCCTTTAATATTGCTACGCTCCACTTTAACTCAATAGCGACTGGCTAAGGACTGGACGAGGGAGGGGTTGAAATTCAGGTACCTGCAGGGTCAAGAATTTTCTGTTCTCTGTGTCGTCCAGACCGGCTTTGGGGCCCACCAAGTCTCCTATCCAATGGGTACCGGGAGCTCTTTCCCCGGGGGTAAAGCAGCGTGAAACTGACCACTCACCTCCAGCTAGTGCCGAGGTCAAGAAAATGCGGATCTATACATCCATTCCCCTCACACCTTCATAGCGTAGTGCTTAATTACTTAAACAGAGGGATAATTTTATCTCTTATCACTTAAACTCAAACGAGAAGGACAGTGTTTCTACCAGAGATATCTGGCGGATGACATGAAGAGGGTTACAGAAAATATTCTTTCTCATCAGAAATCAGGGTTCATAGATGACAAATATCACAGTATGTGATCGTCACCTTCTGAGTAAAAGCTACATTTTGTTCGTATGATCTTTAATGTGAAACGCTGACGGTGGGACGGACGGTTTTCGAACGGAGTGTTTCTCTTTACGGTTCCAGTTACTAACCTGCGAACTATTCACCAGGTACCAGGGGTCTGACTGAGGCTGAAACTAACCGCTTATCTTTGTCTAGTACGGAAAAGAAAAATCGTTTGGCCCTGCCATCATGCCTCAATAAACTTTTTATTTAATTCGCATATTGGGGGGTGGAGTCCAGCTGGGTTCACTCGGCACGTCGGGTACTGATTGGCTTAGTGTACCTGCATCGGGCGATTATGATGATGGAGAATTTGGTGGAACTAAGATTGGTAAGGGAAACCGAAGTACTTGGAGAAAATCTGCCCCAGCACCACTTTGTTCACCACAAATCCCACTTGACCAGACCCGGGCTCGAACCCGGGCCGCCGAAGTTGGAAGCCAGCGACTAACCGCTTGAGCTATGGCGCGGCTTTGATACACCTTCATCGCATGATGTTCAAGTATAGAGAATGCTGCCATACAAAACCTTTGTCTAATAATATTTGTTTCTTAATTAAGTACTTCTCCATTTTAGTGGGTATCTTTATGGTATATACGGCTCGAATTTGATTCTTTTAAGGACTGGATGTGCCATGGTTCAGGATATTAATTACATTTACACTTTTATAGAAGATCTTATAAAATAATTTCGAAAAGTGTTAACCGTTTCTCCTTTTATTTTGCTCTCTCTCTAATTCTAAGGTTTTTATGNGGGGGGGGGGGGGATTCCTGTACACAAAATTCTGTTGCTTGGTAAGCACCTAACGTACAAAAGAACTGCTATGCAGCGCCACGGGTGTAAGTAGAAACGCCGACAGTGGAATGAACTTTCGGATTTCACAACCGATGAATCACTCTCCCTAACTCCATGACTCCGTGAAGCAAGTCTTTCTTGAGAAGCTCATAGTCTATGAGTTGATCCACAATTTCTGGCTTTCTAGGGAACCTGAATACTCATTACTCCCAAGAGGCTGCCATTGGACCCTAACCTTATCCAGACGAATTCAGTCCACACTCTTACAAATTGTTTCAGATGAAAAGTAAACAGATGTAAAGCTATCCCTGTAACAGGCCGTGCAAGCCCATAGGATTGTGAAACGTCGAGGCTCCATTTTCTAGACATTCGGCTCACAGATGGCGGTGGGGTTATCAGTCTTACACCCTGTGCTCTCTTCACCCCCAGGAAGATTCCTGGTACCCATTTCTCTTAGAGTATGAGTCGACCCCAAGACCATAGTGCGGCTGGAAGGATGAGGTCAACTGAAAATATCTAATGACCTCATCGGGAACCGAACCAGCAACCTTCCGGCTTGTAACATAGTGCCTCAACCAATTACACTACCGCGTGCCCCCTACAAACTGTTTAAGATACATGTTAATGTTATCTCACTGAACATGTGGGTCTAGAGGTAAATCTATAGACTTGTTAATAAGTCTTACGATCCATAAATGCAGTAATTTGATATTTAAGCAGCCTTTACATGTTTCGGCCTCTACTGGCCGTCGTCAGAAAGCAAAGCCAACAATGCAACGGAGACACTTCGCATGTATGATAAACACACGCCACATGTTGTTTAAAATGGATTTATACCATTAGAAATGAAGATAGATTCAAATTCTAGCGCAGTTACAGGTAAGATAAGTTAATTCCGTATTTCAGCATCCCGTTGCAATTGTTTAACTTCACGTCCATGTATTTATCGTCCGTCAATATTGCAACACTTGTTTATTCACTGCTTAATTTTAATTTTAGTAATTTTAGTGTTAAAGTGTATAATTTTAAACTGAAATTAAAATTAAGTAGTGAATAAACAAGTGTTGCAATATTTACGGATGATAAATACATAAAGTTATAACATAGTTATAACATAAAGTTATAAAATGGTTATAATTGAAAGACCAATGACAACCGTATTTTCTTACTATTGGTGTATTAAATCTATTGTGTGATTGGCCGTATATTCTCTGCGATGCTGTGTGTGTATTATTTGTGCGTTCCGAAGGGCAGTGATGGTCGTTGGGTTGTGTCTTAGTGAGCTGTGAAATAAACGGTGAGCAGCCTGTGACATGTTTATCACGCGTGTAAAGTCTTTCCTTTGTAGTGCTGGCTTTGCCTTCTGATGATGGTCAACAGTGCTCAAAACATATAAAGGCCTTTTAAATATTAAATTATTACACTTGATGGGCCTTGATGCTTATTAACTAATTTGAGAGTACGACGATACAGGATGTCTCCTATAAAAATATCTAGACTTGTACTCAGGAGGTTCTCGGTTTGAACCTACGCTGGGACACCAATTATCCTCACTGAAGGTTTTTTTGTGGTTTTCCTCAGCCATTCCAGAAAAATTCCTGGATAGTACCTCGATTAGGCCACAACCACTTCCTTTTAAATCCTCTCCAATTCATTATTCTTCTATCATCCAAAGCTCAATAATGAACCGTAAGTCTCCCAAGTTTTCTTTTCTTATCAACTTTTCTGATTAAAATTTTATATGCGTTCTTACGTAACCTTTACATTAATATAATATTATAATTGTAGTTATTTATTTCCTTACGTGTTACTAATACAGTAATAACTGTTTAATAGGTAAAACAGATTATGGAAGAAGCAGTGACCCGGAAGTTCGTCCACGAAGAAAGTAGTTCCATTACTTCTTTGTGTGGTAAGTTGATTCTGTGTATTCTGTTATCAAGCATCTTGAATTAAATATGAATCAGTAGTAAATGAAGGTTTATTTCTTTCATACTTGAACGTTATTTCACCGCAATCATATGTTTTTACACTACAATAAATTCAGGCGACATTTTCAGACTCGAATTTTGGACGAGTAACAATATACGAATTTCAGAATAAGGTTCATACATAGTGAGTAGTTTTCGAAAGGTCAAAGTGTGAAGAGTGAATGTTCTATGTGTAAATAGAAAATAGAAGCACAGACTTACAGAGGTTGCTGAGTCACTCCCACAAAAGATCTTACAGAGTTATTGAGATTAGTAACGAAACGTGCCTGTGCTTAATTAATTAAACACTGTATCATGAAGATATATGGGGGAGTGAAGGTATAGCTCCACCATACTTGGCTTCGGTTCTAGATCTAGATCTTAGAGCCTAATCCGTCAAGGCAGAAGAAGAGGAGGAGGTGGTGGAGGATGAGGAAGAGGAGGAGATGGAGGTGGAGGAAGAGGAGGAAACATTCAGTTCTCTGGTAGTGGGGTAGATGCTGAGACAATTCATTATCTTGCTCTCATTACATTTCTTACAAAACAAACACCCCGTTGCGTGCAAATAGCAGCTCATAAACTGCTACGTGATTGATACTGCCACGACACTGCGGCAACTTCTCCGACGCCCTGTCTTGTTTGTATTCGTTATGGAGACTTGCAGGCGCTGAAATCAACTGAAGAGAAAATTATAAAACGATGAAGAGCCTGGGCTTCTCATCTAGCATTTGTAGCTATTTCTCTTCCATTTTCAGGGAAATGTGGGCTTGTGGTATCATGTCCATGTACGTACGTAAATACAGTTTTGACCTGTTTACTAAACGAGTTTTGTGGTTTTCAGTTTGTTTAGTGTGTGGTAGATCTTAACTTTGGATCTCTGTCTGTCGACGGATTGTCCTGTCTAGACGTTCCATGGATTTTCTCAGTATCTCGAGAAAAATCAGGGAATTGTGTCGTCATGTATACCGTAGTTTCTACACTTCAAATATTACGAATTCTTCTTCACTGTCATGATGCTACTGGTAGTAGTGCAATTTCGTTAGACTAAACAGATTCACTCCCATGAGTTTGCCTCTATGAGATGCGTGGCACTTTGCTTGTGTTTGCGTGTAGTGGTTATAATGTACAGAATAATCTTCAAAAGGCAGATGTATCGTATGTGTGCTGAATGCGTTATTACATAATCTTACTGAAACTCCTGTGCAATATAGTTGTTCGACAAGTTTGTGCAATGAAATCACAAGTCTGCTGGTTGGAATGTGGCAAAGAACAACTCAGTAATTCCCAGAACTAGGTAAATTTGTTTGCCTGAATTCATGCAGTTCAATAATGATCACGACGTTTGTGTAATCAAACAGTAAAGATGGCTCATTCTTGGAAAGTTAATCGTAATTACATTTAAATTCGGATTACTAGTAAAATATCCTGGAGATTCCAAATTATTTTTCTGTATGTAATTTGTCGTTTTTATTTCTGATTTAATAAATTTATCGTGAGAGAACTAACAAAGACACAATGAGAAATTACGTATTAACAGAAGAACTAAAAGAAATATAAAGAGATACTGGGTTTTAGGACTTTGTCCATCGTCCGGATTCTAAACAACTAAGAAAAAACACGTTTCGGAAACTGGATCTGTTTCCGTCCTCAGGTGAGGGAAGACACCTACTCAGTTGGGTCACTCACCTGAGGACGGAAAGAGATCCACTTTCCGGAACGTGTTTTTTCTTAGTTATTTAGAATCTGGACGATGGACAAAGTTCGAAAACCCGGTGTCTCTGTGTGTTATACACCATCGTCAGAACTCTATAGTATCAAAGAAATATTTGAAGTTCTTATGGCGAACTAATACAATGAAATCGTCTCAGATGATTAGATATGTCAGCAAGGAAAATAAATCTGCGCACATACTCGTAGATGGCCTTTGTACTGCAAGCGGCGGTTATTATCGTGTGGTAAGCAGACCAAAAGAACGGCATGACAGTGTAGGAAAGGATTTTTATTAACAACTCCCGTAGAGGGGGAGTGACTGGGGTAGTTAGATCCCTCCTCTAATTGAAAGGGAAACTCCATTTCAAAACAGGTATAAGTCTGGAAAGAAAAAAACATGACCATCGTTCCCGACGGGGTCCTATGCCAAGAACAATTGTGCTGGCGAGGGCCAGCAGCAGTTTTCTGGACTGATTCATTAACAAGGGAACGATAACAGTTATCATACACAATATATGTCGTCAGTAAAACTATATTAATTATTCCGTGAAAGGTCAACCAACTTACCCATTTAACTGCAAAGTATGTATAGAAATTTAATTTTATTTTTGCGAGAGCTACTAAACATACTTCATCTTTAATTTGAACTGTTCGATGTGGATTCCATTTCAACATAAGACATATGGTATACGTATGGTTTATGTATAAACTATACACGATACGCTATTGTATTGACTTTTGGTTTGCTAGTCCGAAATAATTCTTTCAGTCCGAAAACCCAGTAACTCAGCACAACTCTCAGAATAACGTATGGGTGGAACAGTAATTCTGCAACTGACAGCATGTGTTTTATTTCCTCCTTAGGAGAACATGCATTCTCGCTTAACGCCTTAAAGGGAGAAACTAATTCAGCTACTGTCTGAACTTTCAGTTCCTACTTCAAAGAACATGTTACATATCCCCACTGCAAAATTCAGTTCGTTGACGGTATTTAGAACAATAATCCCTCTTTATTCTGAGAAATAAATTAAGTTCAGATGTGTACCTCTAAGCAACTTTCTGTGTTCCTGAACATTATATTAGATATTATTTACACTTTTTATTTAGTTATGAAGGGTTAAATTACTCATTTACATTTCTTAGTTTGGATGCTAGGATAAGAGTTAATTTACATTAAAAGTAGGGGCACGCAGTAGGGTAGTTGGTTAAGGCACTATGCTACAAGGCGGAAGGTCGATTCCCGATGAGATCATTGGATTTTTTAATTGACCTAACCATTCCAGCAGCACTATGGCCCTGGGGTCGGCTCAGCCTCTAACAGAAATGAATACCAGGAATTAATTAAATAATTTTCCTGTGGAGTAAAGGCTGACAGCTTTACCGCAATCTTTGAGCCGATTGTCTAGAAAATGTGGGAGCCTCGACGTCTCACAACTTTATGGGCCTCCACGGCCTGTTACACGGATAGCTTCACCTTTATCTTTTTACATTAAAAGCGCTTTAACGTATTCTCTCCATAGTCCTATATTTTTTGTTTGTCGTTGAACAATTTGAAGTGACGAAGACCGCACTTCGAGGCTTTCAAATTGAAACTTTATATACACTTCTTATTTCCCTATTTATGTTAGGCCTATGTGTAATATTTCTTAATTTCACCCCCCGCAACAACATTTTGTGAAGCGTACAGAGTGGGAAGTTGCTCATTGTGTAATTTTCTCAGTCCCCCCCCCTTACTTCATTTCGATTTGCTGGCCAGTTTCCACTGCATAGCCTCTTTGCAATACCGCGGCTCGGTCTGTCAGTTGCCATGGCAACGCGGTGGTTTGCCAGCTACTCTGATGACGAGACTTGGTATTCTTTATACTCGCGAATGCGTATAACGCAAAATGCCTGTGGTGGGGCTTGAGCGTGAGTGGTACACTTTCATTCTTTAGTAAATTCTCCATACCTAGATTGGCCCAGAGATAGAATCTTTGATTTATATTTCGTTACATCGAAGCATTATTTTAGGTTTCTGAGATGAATCTGTTCCTGTACCATAGACCTGTGTGTGTGTGTGTGTGTGTCCGTCCCCTAATTCGTGTGTCCGTCCCCTAATTCGGCTACGGAATTCAGCAATACAGATATTAAGCAAGATTAGAGGAACAGAAATAGAGGTAGAAATATTATCGCCCTCTGTTTATGCCCGCCTGCTACTGTTGCTAGTTGATCATAAACTGTTATACTTTTTACTGTACTTTGTATATAGATGTATCTGTATAAAATCATATAAAAGGTACAAAAGGTAAGGCTGTCCCTGTAACAGGCGGTGAAGGTCAATAGGGTTGTGAGACGTCGAGGCTCCCACATTTTCTCTAGAAAATCGGCTCACAAATGGCGGTGAGCTTGTTAGCCTCAAGCGTCGGCCGCCCTTTACCTACGATGAAGATTCCTGGCACTCATTTCTCTTAGAGGCTGAGTCGATCTCAGGGCCATAGCGCAGCTGAGAGGATTAGGTAAATTGAAAGAATCCACCTCATCGGGATTCGAACCCGGAACTTTCCGGCTTGTAGCATAGTGCCTAAACCCTTCAGTTTCTGAATTTTTCTTTACATTCATGACATCATGATACGCAGTTGCGAAGTATTATGTCAGGTTACATTCTTATTCATTCATTCATTCATTCATCAGTAATCTGTCAACACGACAGGTCCACAGTCTCTTCCAAACCAGTTCCTCCACTATAATCTTATAGCGCATTTAAAAATTTCTTTCAATACCAGTTATAGGCTAAGGAATATATTGCTTTCATATAATATTCTGAACTACATATGATGCTGTTCTGTGGTAATTAGCCTGAAATCTGTGTTTAATTTCATACAAAAGCGCCAAGAATTATTGTTATACCATATGTATATTGTTACTGCTCTTACTATGAAATATGGCTCTTTTTATTTTGGCTTTATTAACGACGCCATATCAGACTACACAGCACACAGTAATAGGATGAGTTAATAAATAATTAATTAGAATATGGAAGGAAGTGGTCGTGATCTAATTTAGGTATAATCTCGGCATTTACTAGGAAAGACAGAGGAAAATCACGAACATCCTTAATCAGAACATCCAGTAACCCAGTCGAGGTTCGAACAAAAATCACAAGTGTTACTTCTTCAGCCGACCTGCTCAGTGTAAAAGACGAAGAGCTCATGCTTTCTGTCACACTATGTAAGACGGATTGTACGCCGTAGCGCCATCTTCAGTTAGAAAACGCCAACTTACATACGTAAGCCGCTTCTCACCATTATGCACGCAGCCGTAAACCCATGTCCTCATGCTCCTCATGCTCTCATGCTCTCATGCCGTATCTGATGCTCGTGATCGGAGTTTGGCCTAGTTTCAGAGTATAATTTGCACTGCAGTGGCAAAGGTTACAGAACAACCCGTTTAAAGTAATAAAACAATGTAACTCATTTGTTCAGTGTTCTCCGTTCCTACGTCTGTAGTCTTGTCACTAGGCAATCATAATTGAGCATAAGAAATAGAATGCCCCATAATGTTTCTTGTATGAGAACTGTTTGTTGCATAAAGTGACTGATGTATGCGCCGCAGCACTAAACAAAAGGACGTGGGTCAACGAAGATATATATTCATAAGATTGCCACAATGGATAATTAAATTATTTCGTTAAATACAATGCATTTCAAAGAACCATGCGAAGAAAGGGGACTTTCGCTGTCTCTGTTTTATGTCTTAAAACATACACTGATAATCCAAGTATATGAAATACGAACAGCTAACTAGGTGTACTGTATGTTGACAGGAGCCGTGGAGGCTTGTTTATCACAGGGGCTGAGGAGAAGAGCCCTCGGCTTGTTCAAGACCAGTTCTACCACTGCGCTACTGCACAAAGCGGCCAAGAGCTTTGGGCCGGCAGCAGTCATCTCGAGGAAAGTGCAAGAGATAGAAAACTGCGATCCAAACAGGTACGAAAACAGACCAAGTTGAAAAATTCGTGACGATTGTATATTAATACAATTATTGACTTTTTGGACAATATTAATATTCCTGTTCTTTATTTAAAACTGGAATCTGCCTCCGCCCTCTGGTAGAAAGCCTACTCAGTTGGGCCCAACCGGTAAGGTTACTTTATATCTCCTGACCGGCAGAGTCTAGTTTCCGAAACGTTATTTTAAGCAAAAATCAGATTGATTGATTGACTGATTACATTTCTGGCCAGGTTCCATTCTCCCCTGTTCGTTGTGCATTTGCATACGTCCAGGTTCACCTGTCCCTGTCCATCATTGGAATTATAAATCAGCGTTGAGTCCCGAAAGTGAACTCCGAATGACTCCATATTGGGTACACTGACCTCCATGTAGCTCAATAGGTTTGAACCCGTTGGTAGCTTATTTTGCTAACATTTTCATGAGTATTGCATTGCCTTGTACATCAGCGATATCCTGGCAGTACCACCACCATGAAGACCGGTGTGTTTTGCTAATTTTATTGCCCTTAACGCTGACGTAGCAGTATGATAGGTGATACTGAAATCATGTGGTGCTGTTTTTAGGTAGCAAAAAGTCTATACGCGCAGTAAAATCTGCGTTTCATTTGAAAATGCCTCGCAATCCTGTCAGCAAGATGACACGGATTCTTTTATTATTCAGTCCAAATAGAGGCATACAGGGAAAGATATCAGTTGAAAAGGCAGCATGCAGAAATAGACGATACGAATCTATCCCTCTCAACCACTGAAATCGAAGACCAACATGAAATATTCATAAAGCTGCTCTCTCGGAAGTGGGAATGACTTTCAGACAGATCTTACTCTGGCTTTAAGAACATTCTCATAACACAGACACTGCTGACGCGAAAGAGCATATCACTGACACGAAATGTCGGGGATAAAGGACACTGTACTCTTACCATTCAAATCATTGTTAAGTAACGCATCAGAGCTAAACTAGCCTGTTATGAGTCCTTTAATAATTTTGGCACCGAGTTGAATTCAGAAAACAAATATATTTTCTTTCTGTACGTCTATCTAAATTTATTATAAAACCATTAGCTGAATTGTCAAGGGGTATTTGAATAGCTTATTTTGTTAATTAGCACACGCGCCACAGTACCCCCCCGCCCCGGCATTTTCCCAAATCAATCTGCACTGAAATAATTAAATTGCATATTGATTACGATTGGCCAGTGTTCTGTTATTTAGCTCGTGGCGCCGTAGACTAATAGCTTTATACATTAAGCGGTTGCCAAGCAACGAAACACCCGGAGGATACGAATCGCTTTTGCAGTATAACACCGGTTTTTGGTCGCCAACCGTTCAAACACAATAGATACGCAGAAATAGATAACATTTGACAAAACGATTTCATACAATAGTTAAAGTGACTTATTTTCATATTTGATCAGCGCAGATAAACTATTGGAATTACGAAAACGATAGAATCGGAATTTAAAATATAAATACATGATACGCGCTGCAGAGCAAGAAAGAGCCTGTTTATATGCGCTCTATGCATATGGGTATTTACTGGTTTATTGAATTATCTATTATGTCCAAAGAAATCTGCTGGGATACTGAATTAAATATGGTTTTTGTTTTTTCCATTGTCAAGTATGTCCTAGCTTGCCAATTACTTTTGCCTGTTAAATAATCTCTGACGCATTTCCTATTTTTGTTTCTTTCTCATTGTTATTGCTGTAATATATTTCTCGTTTTAAAATTCTCAACTACGACTCTCCTATCATTATAGATACTTATATGATCATAAATATTCAAGCACTGCAATTGAAGCTTTCTCCATCGGATCGCTATTCATTCTGTGATATTTTAGAATATCTTGTATTATCTTAGGCTTGAATTATTAACATTAGCAAGGAAAATTCTCAGTGTGTTATTAAGTCGATTTCCTTGCTTTGTGACTTTCCATCTAGATTCCTTAAATATATTTTCGACTTTGACCTTGTACTAATTGTTACTTCTACTTCATATTATTTTCTTTTCACATTAGATTTTACATCTTAGATGTCGGCTCTACATGTCTTCTTTTAATTCAGTTACCATTAAATAGTGATTTTATTTCACTCAACTCACATATAGGATCGAATAGAAGTAATGTTCCAAACTATTCACCGTTGTCTTCTATATCATGGATTAAACCTATTGTCTGTTCCGGTTCCGAGATTAAAACTGTTTCATCTTCTTGTCAGAGGGCCCTGGCTTCATAGTCATACATTATATTGAGAGAACAGTATCGGTTCTGATTTTCGGGCGCTCTTACAAATGCTAGTCAATTCTTTTGTTAGGTAATTATTACTGTATTTATGCATGTTCTTCACAGTTCTTCTCTTATGTCTCCATTACTTTTACGATTCGTTATTCCAAATTTTACAGCAGCTCTAAAGAAACGCGTTTCTTCTCTCCTCATTCTTCTCACTAGCTCTTTCATTGACATTCAACCATGTTAATTCCTGTAGGGCTCTTCGTACGAGTATAGCGTTTTAAAGAGAACTGCTTTTGACATTTTCCTTGCAATGGGTATTATACAGTTTCACAGAATTATTTAGTTTTATATCATTATCTCTCTCACAACCCTACTGCAACTCGAGGAATCGAAAATTCTGCACTTGTCTGTTTTATTATTGAGTATATCTTACCGTGTTCTTACAAATGCCAGTATTCTTGCTTCTAACTTGCACATCTCCATATTGTGTCAGTGGGCAAGGCCTATATTATGTCATTTCTATACGAGTTCCCTGAAAATTTTATTAAGACCTCATTATCAATTCATATATGACCAAGAGCCAGGCTAGCTTAGTCGGTATAGCGACTGACTGCGGGCTGGACGACCAAGGGGTCAGAGTTCGAAACCCGGTGGGGATAAGAATTTTCATTTCTCCATGCCCAGACCGGCTCTGGGACCCACCCAAACTCCTATCCAATGATTGTCAGGGGCACTTTCCCCAGGGTAAAGCGGCAGGGGCATGAAGCTGACCACTAACGTCCAGCTAGTGCTGAGGTCAACAAAATGTACATTTATATACGTCCACTCTCCCATACGCCTTCAGGCATAGTGCTTAATTAGTTAAGCACAGGGACAACTTTTTCTCACCTTTTTTCATATACGATCAGTCATTATATAGAATGGAAAAGTTCAAATGTGATTAGTCAATGTATCTCGTGATCTGAAAATTTATTCTTCACAATTAAGCTCTTTGAATGTGTTATCATATTTGCGTCTGTCGTTCTGCGTTTTGAACAGGAGATCTTCATCGAGTGGTGACAGCACGAACCGGCCTCCGAGTGGGAAGCCGCCACTGCAGAAGAAGAACTCTGCTGGTGGGGTCATGACTTCTTCTGGTGTGCAAAGTCCGCGGTACTTGTGGATACGTCTAGCTCTATTTGAGAAACAGCTGGCTGCCATTATTGACTACCTCGTACAGAACAGCAGGTATGGTGATACCACACGTAGTTTCAGACCCTCTAAATGCTGAAAGACAAATGCCAGGATTTCATCACCACTTTTTATAACTTTTAGCCTGATTTCCTTATTTTGCAAAAAATTAAAGCATGCTTATGAAATCATCTTGCTATGTGTATGTTTGTGTCTCCACCCACATCAACTTTTGAATGCCTGAACCAATCTATGGAAGAATAACACTACATGTACAGAAAAGTTGTAACCTGTTCCTAACCATATGTGTTAGACTTCATCTGAACGTCACTCTTTTTAAAGCAGCTATCTGGGTATTTAGAGGAAAGTTCACATAAAATTAAATCACAGCATGCTTCCTCTTCAGTAGAATGGTTTTAAAATTGGAGGACACATATAATATTACAAGGAAATTTAATTTTGTACTCCTTTTTACAGACTGATTTGAGCCTTGGCATTCTAAATCCATAGATGTTTTCTAAATCATAATAAGATAGGCAATAGGACTCTTCTACTGAAGAGATCAGACTATCATGAGGGCTTCTTTCACAATAAACAACACAGGTCAGCACTGTACAAATGCTGACGAACACCTCATGTTTCTTTATAAGTTGCAAAGATAAATATTGCATTTTCCGTTCCTACAATTAATTTAATTTCACCAGGGAAGTACATAAACATCAGTTTTAAATTGGCTACATGTCAACATTGTTTATTAAAATATACCATTAAATCATCTGAATGAAGTGTTTTTCTTGCAGTAAATACTATGAGAAAGATTCCCTAGTTGCAGATCCAGATTATGGTTCCATTCTCAGTTCTCTGCTTGGTAAGTAATTATCAGATTACAGTTAATTATGAATATAACATACAACTAAGTAATATTAATTTATTTAAAAACCTACCACCTAAAATTCTCTCCTTTCCAGCCGGTATAATTATTTAAATTAAATATCTGCTGGAATTGTCAAAAAGGATAATGCAGAACAAAAGTATTTCTGTGCCGCAGTTTTCCCTGAGCAGCAGATAATTATTCAACTGATTAAGATATCCTGTACTTCTACAAAACCCAAAAATTCATACCTGTGTTTACTGAAGCCTGTCACTTGGACTCAATTCTGAGCCAAATCCAGTTCACACCACACCGTATTTGTCTAAGCTATTTCTCTCCATTGAACAAAATCTTTCTTGAGAAGCTGATAGTCAGTCAGCTGGCCCAAGAATTTATGCTATTTATTAAATCTCAAAGTCCATTATCATGTTCACCAGAGCCCATAACTTCATCCAGTCCTACACCACTTACATCCAGTCCCGCACTCTTACAACCCTAGTTCTTTAAGATCCATCTTAATATTAGCTGTCCATCTGTGGCTGGATCTCCCAAGTGTTCATTTTCCTTGAGGATTTAAAATTAAAGTACTTTTATGCATTTTCGTTTCTTCTATGCGCACCACACACCTTGCCCACCACGTTCAGTAAAATATAATGTAGATCATAAGTTAGTATGCTGGGCTCATGTGTAGATGATGAATAAAGCATGTTGATGCAAGTAACTTTCAAGTTCGTTGTGACATGCAACAAATGGATATGTGTTCATTGCGTTCATCTTCCAAACAACTTAGTCCTCTTGCATCATTCTAATAATATTTTAAATTTGTCATTTTGAAGTTTTCTCCATTCGCCTCTTATTACCCTCCCCTTTCTAATATCCATTTTAATGTTATCCTCACATGTACATTAGGTCTCTAAATTGGTGTATTCCTCTGAAGTTTTTCAGTCAAATGTGTATCTTTGTCATTTACCCGTACATGCTACACCTAACAGTAATAGATGAAAAGTATAAATTATGAAAATTCTCATTATGTTGTTCTCTCTAGTCCTTCATTCATACATTTCTCTTAGGTCCAGGTATTCTCCTCGGTTTTGTTAACAGACACTACTCCCTATGTTCTTACTGCATAGTGAGAGGCATCAAAAAGAAGAGGTAAAATAGTACTTTTAGTTTTATATATTTTAACCTCAACTTTTTAAATAAGACTTTGAAATATAAAAGAATCTACCTGAATGGTAGCATTTATGTTAAAAATTTAATCAAGTTTCATCATGAGCTATATTTTGATTGTTGTTATTACTAATACATACACAAATTATACAGGTCTAAATATTTATCAGGAATTAATATTATTTAAACCTCTATCCTGGTGTTGTGACACAAACACATAATTATTTTCACTTATAGGTTACCATCCTTGCTATCATATACTAGAGTTTAAATGTCCTTTATAGTCCATACTTATGTCAGATCAGATTAATTGAGATAATAAAACTAAGTCTCTGATGATAGAATCCAAATTTGTAGCACAGCAAATGAAAAAAAAAAACTGACCTTGAACATTAATCAGAGCACTGAATAGCAATGAATAGTTTACATTCTTAAGCATTCTTTGGTTGTAGATTAATTCATCTTTTCGCAGTGAACATAGAAAAATATATCAGTTAGATGCATGCAAAATACCATAATTTCACATTCGAAAATATTATTTTATATGTTTAACCCCTTACAGGGCAGTGGTGACTGTGCATGCCGCTGATTTTAACAATAAATAATGTAATATTCTGTCCATTTGTATTTATTTATGGGCTTCATTCTTGGAAGAAACAGATTGTTGCCTAAACACAATAAAGTGACTGATTTTTTTAATGGAGATTTGATGTATTTTTTGGGAAGTAAGTATCCATTTTTAAAGTATTATTTTTTGCATTTTGCCTTTTAAAGGACTAAAACAGAATTTATGTATAGAGCTGTAAATAAATTATAATAATATGAATTCAAATCTGTGTATAAACATTAACATTGCAGAACACTATATACTCGTATTTGGAAGAAAAGTCTCATCTCTAATATACAGAATTGTTCCATCTATAAGAGTGAAAGAGTTAAATACAATCCAGTGATTTTCTGCTACTGTAATTAGCTTGTATGTTAGGAGCAGATAATTTAAGAAGAGTGTAAAATAAGTGTACTTTATATCATCAGCTATAATTATTTCAGTGGTAGCAAGGATGGAGAAAATAAATGCTAAACCTTATAAGCATTTGTTTATAGACCCAAGTTCAAAAGTCAGTAAGATGTCCTGGTTATAAGGAAATGACTGTTCTTAAACTGCAGTTGGTCCTTGTGCATTGGATTATTCCAAGACAAAAACACAAGACCACTTCTGGACTGATCCACCCGCAGATGAGTTAGTACAAAGGCATCGCATCTCCAGCGGCCATGCCACTCCGCCCTCCTGCCGGAGACCTGCTCTCAATGTGAGTGGTTCTGGAGACAAGCACTGCATCATTTCCAATCTCTCAAATTGCAGACAATAAAGTGTCCAAAAAATATAATTTTTGGCACAACATAGATCTGAGGTGATCCATATACTTGACATGAAAACAACACAGAGAAGTAGTTAGTGTTATGACTAAAACTAATTAACCATAATACTGATACATAAAAAGTGCAATTGTTAGACGCTGTAGGAATACAAGAAAGCATTTAACAATGGAAGTTGAGTTAGTTTTATGATTCTCCTGAGAAGTGCCATAGAAAGAATATTGGAATTTTAGGAGTAATGTATGAGTATGTAAAATAAAGAATTGTCAAACTTGCAAATTTCAAACATTTTCTTTATATTCTCACCACCAATATAAAGTGGTCTAATTGTGCTTAAATTATGGAGATAAAATGTCTCATGAGTTTATGTTGAGTGGAAAAGACTGAACGTTATCTATTTACAAATTAATTGAACAGTTTTTGTTTTTCTGTATTTGAATAAGATACGGAAATATTAAAGTAAATTATAACCATAATTTGTTTTTATTATGATTGAAAACTAAGAAATTGTAGAATAAAGAATTTTCAACATCATTATCATTATTATTTTCTTATATTTAACTTACTATAATAATTAAGATGTGACTTTCATGTATATATATGTACAATGTATATACCATGCTTTATGCAGTTTCGACGCAGTTTACATGCTGTCAGTTCTGAAGAGGGTCACCGCCAGATCCCCATATCAGCTAAAGACTATGTTGAATCCCTCCATCAGAACAGTCGTGCCACATTGCTGTATGGAAAAAACAACGTTCTTGTGCTGCCTGTGAGTAAACAGATGTTCTAAAATAATAAATTTGTATGCAGCAAATATTAAATATTAGAGGCAACTATTGTTCCAAATAAATTAATAATCTTTTAGTAACTTTTTTTTTCAGCTTTTCTTCTCACTCAGCACTATCTGAAGTAAATACTTTTTTAATTGTTTAATTCTATTATAAGTTTTAAGACTTGATTATATTTCATACAAATTTAAGTGGAATAAGTTATTCTCATTAATGAGAGAGTAGAATGCTCAAGCAGACAAATCTACATTACAATTTCAGAAAATTCTTTTTGTTATTTGTAGTGGTTACTAAACTTAAATGTGAACTTTAGAATACAAGTCTTGTGGGGCAGACCATATAAAGAAACTCATATTCGCACACTAAAATAGTTAACCATATTTGAAATTTCACATATATGGAAGTATGGTATGTTGATTGTAACTGCTTGAACACACAACAAAGTTACCTCAACACAAAAATGAAAATACGTCACACCATAATCTAATGTAAGCTCTAGTTATTTTTCACCACATTCAACACAGCAACTTCACCAAGAACTGTACATTTTACCAGGTTTCATGTAAAATGGAACTTTTCAAAATTGCACAAATGTATAATTATTCATGATGTTAGAAACATTCAAAAGTGTGTGTCATAGTAATCTTCTGGGCACTCGGTGTCCCCTCATTCAAACTGAAAAATAAAAGTTATTTTTTCAAAAAAAAAAAAAAAGCATTAGAACAATCTTGTCTCATATTAACCTGTATTTCCATGTTTCATTATTTTGGAGAAACAGGATAGTTATATACCTGACATTCAAATTTTTGAGACACATGTACTTACTTTTGAAACAGAAGAACAAGCAATTTCCCTTGTGGGGGGGGGGAGTTCACCTCGCCCAGTCATTGCCATATTCTTTATTCAGACAACTTAATTTAAATGTGCTTCATTTATCACCTTTTAGTAAGTTAAATGTTACAGAAGACAATTATACTACATTCTACTGAACTAGATGTAGCACAGGGTTGAGCTTCAGATTACTTCCAGACCATTTTGCTACGGTAAAAAAATTATTTTAACGAATATATATAATCCATGGTGCGCTGCAGTTTTCCATAATTACATCTGACCATATTCAGTTTCATAATATGCACCTTACTGTGCTTTTATATATTAGTTTTTTATATTTTGTTAATAGCTGCTTGTGTCTAATTACAGAAAGACCTAACAGAACCCATGCCAGGCTATTTGTCACTTCATCAGACAGCACACTCACTGACTATCAAGTGGACACCTAACCAACTCATGAATGGTTATTCAGAGGCTGAAATACAGGATAAAAGGTGTGCACTTTGCCTGTATAAAATGTATGCATTAGGTGTGGTCTGAAGATGTGAAATTGTAATATGATATTTTACAATACAGGCTACCATATGCTTAACATATTTTGGAAGCATCAGATGATTTGTATTTAAGAAGTAGAACAAAATATCTTATCAAACAGATTCTTCTCTGAATTGTGTTTATTCAAACGCAGCTACCTTGATATTTAGACATGTTTCACCACAGAACAGTGAACAACATTAAATCCTGTGTGATGATACAGTTAATTTATTTTATTTTTCATGGAGTACTACAGTTTCACACTCATATGTATGAGTCTGTGTGGAAAACAGTTCACTCTGAGTGCCTTCAGTAACTCCTAGCACAGTAAACTCCATATTATCCAGCATTCATGAGGAATGGGGTGTGCTGATTTCATGAATCTGCCAGTTACATGGGAAAAACTGTTACAAAAACCAAATACAAAGTACAGGTTTTCATTATATAGCAGATTTAAGGGTGAAAGATTTTGCATACCTATGCTGTTACATGATCAAAATTGCTTCATTACTTGCTATTAAAAATTTTAATTTAGTTTGTGTTATTTATATAACCTGTCAGCATATTATTAGCATATAATTTACACTTCCATATCCTAATTATATGTATATCTTCTTTACTCTGTGTACTGTACTATAATTTTGTTTAGTATTGGTTATGTATTTGTGATGTTCTGTTACACATTGTTTTGTTACGCATTGTTTTGTTATGGTGGGATGCACAGACGAGGCAGTTTGCCAGGAATACAAGCTCCTAGGAAGCATCTCCTATACAGACGCTCTTCCACCCAGACTCAGCTGGTGTAAGTGATACCATATGATGTTGAGTTGTTCCATGTTATTTTTGTTATTGCTTGGGGTGCATACACTCAGGAGATCTGGTGGTGGAAGTGTGTGATTTTGTGCTTCTTCTTTTGTAACTTGTGATTTTTCAGTTGATGTCACTCCTGGCTTCAAGGAATTGAGGCATATTTGATCTAATCTACCCCATCCTTAAAAATGAGGCATAATTGAAGGTTGATATGCATGCGTTGTATTTATTTTGGATTTGGCATCACAAAATTCTGCATCTAACACATTAGATGAACATTGTTTAAACTGTCTTTCCTTTACAGACCAAATATCTGGTAAAGGCTAGTATTCAAGTTATTGTAATGATGTCATAAAAGCAAAATTATAAAGCTGTCCCTGTAAGAGGCAGTGGAGGCCCATAGACTTGTGAGATATTGAAGCTTCCACATTTTCTAGACTGTCGGCTCACAGATGGCAGTGAGATTGTCAGCCTTACATGCTGGCCACCCTCAATTCCCAGGAAGATTCCTGGTACTGATTTCTGTTAGAGGCTGAGTCAACCCCAGGGCCATAGTGCAGGTGGAAGGATTAGGTCAATTGAAAAAAAAAAATCCAATGACCTTATCAGGAATCAAACCCGCGACCTTCCAGTTTGTAGCATAGTGCCTCAATCAACTACGCTACTGCGTGCCCCTAGTCACATCATAGTCAACTATATATATATATATATATATAGCTAAAATCCATGTTATTCTTCCATCATTTATGCTGTGTAAGGCGCTGTAGTGTATTGATTGATTGCACTTATGAACCTAAGTGTATATTTCTACTTTGTCTTTACTTTACTCCAGACACAAAGAAATAAAGTAAAATTAATTCATTTCTATTCTAAATTTAGTAATTTAAATTTATTTCTGAATATACATATTCACATTTCAAGTTGGAACTAATTTATTTACTTTGATTTTTAATACTGGAGTTAGGTTCCTCTTTAATCGAGACTGTATATGAAGAGGTATTGGAGTTTTTCTTATGATGGAGGGTAAATTAAGGTAAGGTATTAAAGGCACAGTTGTCTCTGTGCCTAATTGGATGGAAAGTACAGCTCAGTGTATCAAGAATCTGTCAGATCTCTTCACACACTGATGATTTTGTCAGTTTCATCAGATGTTATACTGGATTATTTAAAGATATATTAACATAAATTTAACTCAGGCAAGACTATCGATGAACACTGAGGCCTTTTTAGACCCATTCTATACATTCCTAGCTTTAGCACTGGATAAAGATGTGTATTCAACTTCATGCTGAAGCAGGTACCCACTAGAAAGGAAATTGGGTGGGCCCCAGAGCTGGTTTGAACCCTGTGGAGAAGAGAAAATCTTATGCCTCTGCCAGGAACTCAACTCTGGTTTCTTGGTATCCAGTCCATAGTCCAGTGCCTCTACCAACAGAGCTATCCTGGCTTATAATGATAATTTAACAAGTAATATAACAGAAGGTATTTTTTAAGAAATGGCATATTTTTGTAAGAAGGCTTCTAACATTACTAAGAAATGTTACTTTAAGTGTGGATATCTGCGGGTTAGATCTAGATGTATGATCATGGGTGTGGAACTGCACAAGTACTTAAAAGCCATTGTTTGCTCAGCAACAGCAACACAGCTACTACAGAACTGAAAGCAACGAGGGATCCTGTTTTTCAGTTTGTTTCTGATTGTCAGAGGTATTCTTGTGTTTGTTGTTCCCATTATTCAAATTTGATGGATTGCAGTGAGTAAGTTATATTCTGAGTTTTACAATGGAACGATTTTTTCTCAATGTTTGGAGGCCCCTCAGATTGTGAGACTGTATGCTGTAGCTATAAAATACACTGGCAGTGATTGCACTGAATCAGTTTATTCTCAGCTGATGACTGATGACTGATAGACACCAGTAATACAATCTTATGACCATACTCATTGAACTTTTGATTGTCAGGTAAAGCTAATACAAGACAAATGAGGGTGCTGTCTCTCTTGTGTGAGTACAAATTCTAGGCTCGCTCTTATTATACTCATATGTACTGAATTAAATTAAAACCAAAACTCTTACATTAAGAATGAAACTAAAGAGATATATCTCTCCACCCTTTAACACAAACTACAAAATAAAGACTAATTATGAAAATAAGGGAATTTTTAATGGATTAGTATAGAACTGGACTATGTTCAAAACCAATATAAAGGAAGAGCAGAAATGTATATGAAGGTTCAGAAGTGTAGCTAGTCAGTTCATCATATCAGTATGACTTTTACCCATTGATCACGATGTGGTCTGTGCAGAGTTATCACAGACTCTTCTTTTCATCACTATGTCTGTTGCTTTCTTTTAACACCATAAAAAAAAACAAAGGTAAAGCTCTCCCGGTAACAGGCCGTGAAGACCCGTAGGGTTGTGGGAAGTTGAGGCTCCCACACTTTCTCTAGACAGTTGGCTCACAGATGGCGGTAATGTTGTTAGCCTTATTTGCCGGTTGCCCTTTACCTCCCAAGATTCCTGGTACTCATTTCTGTTAGGGGTTGAGTTGAATCCAGGACCATACTCTGGTTGAAAGAATTAATTAAATTGAAAAAAATCCATTTCATTGGCACTCAAACCTGCGACCTTCTGGCTTGTAGCATAGTGCCTCAAACAACTACGCTACTGCGTGCCCCTTTAACACCTAATACAATTTTTAAAGTTAAAATTAATTTTTCCTTGGTACTAACAATTTATATTGTTACAGTTTATATTGGGACTATGCCATGAATGTGCAAGTTGATGAAATAGTGTATGTTCACTGCCATCAACAAGGTAAATAACAAATACAAGCATAGCTTGTGTGCTATAAATGTATTTTAGACACATTTTCAGAGAGTTTAGAGATATTTTAGCAGATTAATACTTGTAAGAGTACAGTGGCATGGCACATTATGAACTGGTGGTTCATCTTTCATTTTTTATAATAAAGCCTTATATGTTGTGTATCAGAGAATCTTACAGCATGCTATGAATAATCAGCACGAGCTGAAATGCAAAGTACTTTACATTTATTTTCTGACACACTGCTTAGAGTATTACCTAGTGCTAAGTCATCATTCAGAATTATTATGTATAATACAGCTGCCAATGTCCCTCAAATCAAAATATGAAATGTGTCTAAAAGTAAGTAGATGTTTTCAAAGATATTTATGGGTTCATTTCTAACAGAAAAACATATATTATCAGGATATGGACAGAGAAAGCCTATAGATATGGATGGTAACAAGACATATATTACAGCACTACACCTTTGACTTATCAATTATATATGATGATGGCTCTTTCAGATGTCAGCTGACTCTTGCCATCAAGCACTCTTGTTAGACGAGCCTCATTCAGTGTCACTATTTATTACTGCTGTGCACAACCATATGCACTTATATCTGGTTGGTTAATAGGACGTTAGCTCACAATACATTGTGTTCAGAAGGACAGAGATGGGTTCTTCCTACAGAAAGTATGTAACATGATGTCAGGGAGTGAATATTTGGAGACATTCAGGCAATATCAGTATGTTGGCATTCAGAAAATCAGATTTGTTATTAACAAAAATAAATATCTATTTTCACACTAATTTGCATACCATGCAGGAATAAAGGTCACTATTTCAACATACCCAACAATATAACATGCATGATATTGACAGTTTCACTTTCCATCAATATATAACAAAGAAAATACTGAAAATTACAAAATGGTTTACCAAATTTCAGTGGACACTATTCAAAATAAACTGGGTCAAAAAGTTAGTTCCTTTGCTACTGCAATGCTGGTGTCTAAATTTCTGCCAAAGAAACTAGATTTTTAGTGACAATTTTTAAATTATCATAATCAGTTCTGTTTTCAGTTCCCATTTTGCATTGCTGTAGCTTCAGTATAACGCTGGAAAGGGTTTCTGACCTTCTTGTAGGGTGAAATTGCGGCAGCTCCATGTAAATTCTGTGTTTGTATTTTTAGGGCATTTCTTATGCGGGTGGCCACCACTGCACCACAAACATAAAAAGAGATCAAGTTTCGCACATTATTGCATGGAAAACACTTAACAAGAATTATAATTTTAGAAGCAACTTCTAATAAAAATTAAATACAAATAGTGGTTAGAGGTGTAATATTTGATAATGGTATGTCATTGTATTAATTGCTTGGAATTATTATTCTGTTAGTAACATTGTGTATGTTTTGGGATTTCCACAGCATTGATTGTTCACATTGCTTTCTTCTGGATTGTGACAATATGTAGTCTCATATGTGAAACCAACATTTCAGAGGAGAATGAAGTGTGTATAGTGAAGATGCAGTTAGGGTACACAGGCGGAACTTGGATCCATGGAAAAGAGAGAGGAGACAGAACCCAGTCCAGGACAATATAAGCAGTGAATAGGAAATGTGGCAGAAATGATGCTTCTCAAGACCCTGATGTTAATTTGGCCTAGACAGCATTCTGTCTTCTCTCCTACATATCTAAGTGGCTGTCTTCCTTTCTCATAATTCCATGTTCCTGATGACAGTTAATACTAACACACTGAAAAATCTCAAAGTGTACTTGAACTAACAGGATTGCACAAGTCTATTCCCGTCACCCCCTCAGAAATAAATAAAGACAAAAATTAAAATAAAACACATACAAAGTATTCTGGTGCAATACAGCTTTATGTTATGCTTTGGTTTTCAGTGCTCATAAAGCCTGGAAACTTAGTACATTATAATTCTCATGTATGCTTTTAAATTCAAGTACATGAATAATTGACTAATACCTGTGATTGTATGTTCCTGTTACAGCTGATAGTGGCGGTACCATAGTGCTGGTGGGACAGGATGGAGTTCAGCGACCTCCAATCCACTTTCCAAAGGGTGGACATCTACTTTCATTTCTGTCATGTCTCGAGAATGGCCTGCTCCCTCATGGACAACTTGATCCACCACTATGGTCACAGAGAGGAAAAGGTTTGTCAGATGTTTGCACTACAGCAAGCTGTTGAATGTCTGTGGACAGATTATAGCATTTGCAGATTGGATCCATGAAGTGATAATAAATGTAAATGTAAACGTAGAAAATCATGAGTCTTTAGAAAGCAACATTTATAATAGACATTTATTGCACATGTAAACTGCCAGCTTGTCTTGGTACTGTGCTGCCAGATGATGAGTCCAGAGGTAATATTAGAGTCTATGTTGAAGTCTGGTTATAATGAATGAAAAGTGGGGAAAAAGAGAAGAAGGACAAGTTTGGTGTGTAGCTAAATGATGTGCCTCATATCTGAAGTCAAATATCAATGTATTTTCAAGTTACCCTGTGGGCTATATAGTCTTGTGTCCTTATGAACATTCTTACATATGAGCTAGTGTGTATCTCATATTATGATACAGATACATGCCATTCAGAACAACAATTTTATAATTCCTCTCCTGTGGCACATTCAGAAAGATCATTACAGAAGTAGACTCTGCCATATTTTGGCTACATTTCACAGTGCTGGTTCAAAGCATCTGTCTACAAACAACACTGATTTTCTGAAAGATATGCGAAATTTGCAGTGTGCTGCTGCATAAACTATTACTGTGATCAGATCAAGGAGGATGACATTTGTAAGAAATATGTCACATATATTACAGAAAGGAAATACACATGCAAAATTTTACTAATGGAATTTGGAGGGAAGAGACACCTTGAGAGGCCTAAGCATAGATATGAAGATACTATTACAATGAACCCTAAAGTATTGGATGTGAGGATGTGGACCAGATTGAACTGATTCTGGACAGTATCAGTTTCTCAGAAGGACTCTGCTCCATGGAATTAGTTACGAATTTTATTTTCCAGGCAAAGTGTTTCCAAAGCTTCGAAGAAAAGGACGCACTCTTCCGTCATTACGAAATGGAGAAGAGGCAGGGGATGAGTCTACTGATTATGTTTTCCGAATTGTCAGTAAAGCACGCCATGAGGACTTTTGTAAGTAATATCTACAAATTTCTGCCTACGTAGATACCAAACATTTGCCCTTTGTGAAGTTCCTTTCCAAGCATGCTCAGACCTGTCCCTCTCATATCACTATACCTACATGCTTTCTCCTCTTGTAACACCATCCCATAAAATTGTGATCTATAAGCCCTACAGAAATTTATCATTCAGTACCATACATATATATCCAACAGCAGTCTAATCAAACTAATCCCAACACAAATTAACTTTTTTTTTACTTTCAACATTCGTTCCCCAGTCACAGACACTGAGATATTATTCTTCACTGCAACTATAACTGAAAGATTTTATTCCACATGAATTTTAAATTGGCATAAACTTATGTTAAACATCCATACAATGGTTTCTTTACTTGTTATTTCATGTACCAAGAATAAACAAATTTTAGTTTGTGAAATACTATTGCCAAATTTTTGTTTTGTGGGATCCTAAGGTCTCTTCACAGAAGTCTTGTTGTTTGGCAGAATATTCCAAGCAGAATGAGAAAGGGACAACATGACCGACTTGCAAGTACCAAGTTCAACTCTTGGTCAAGTATTGCTTACACTGACCAAAGGATTTTTGTGTCCGTAACAAGCCGTAGAGGTCCATAGGATTGTGAGATGTCGAGCCTTCCACATTTCCTAGACAGTAGGCTCACAGATGGCGGTACGGTTGTTATCCTTATGCACTGGCCTCCCTTTATCCCCAGGACGATTCCTGGCACTCATTTCTGTTAACAGAATTTTCTCTGATTCCCGAGGCAAATGCTCAGATAGTACTGCATTCCACTGGATTCATCATTCAACACCAAATAATCCTGTGGCATGTCAATGTCATCAGTATATACTGAGTGTAGCTCCCATTCTGGTCTAGTATGCTCTACCAATTTCTTACAAGGCTGTCTTATATGTCTCGATAAAATTTGTAATGTATTCAAATATTATTCATAGAATGGAGCATGAGAATTACTCATATTATGAAACTCTCAGCTTTATCATTCACACAGTCCCATTGCATATTAACTTTTGTGCCATTTATATTCAGTCATCAATTTATTAGATCATATTTTTATGAACCTGATATATAGTGGCAGGACAAGACTTGATGGATCCTAGTCCATGGACTGGCAGTATTCAACATCTCCAGTCCAGAGTTAGAGCACAGCTTATCTCAACCTCCACAGCCAGTTCCACATCTTCATCCAAATCCCTGAGTCTGGACCCAGGCAGTGGTGCAGAAATGCCAGAGAGTCCAAGACAAGGTGTAATATCAAATGGTCCAACTCCTAAATTAACCACAGGGTAAGTAAGAAAGCAGTACATCATTGTACCACTGTTTTGCTTAGTACTGAACCAGGATGCTGATATGCATAACGTGTAATACTTGGCAGAGTTAAATGAGAAAAGCTCATGTTTTACAGTAAAACTCCATTTTATAAATTTTGTTGCATTTTTTTTTTTTGCTTCTGGTCTAGCCTGTTTACTGTGCACATATTCTCACATTTTCCAGAATATCTGTTGAAAATACGACTATGAGTAACACAAGGTTGACAGTATATCATTAGACTCATTCCTGCAGCTGACATGGCACTCTTCTTGCATAGGCCTCCTATAGAAGCTGATAACTTATGGCCTGCATCTCTGATATAATTTAACTTACCTTGTTTTGTAGGAGGGTCTCAAAGTGATAATCCTCTGCTTCTGAGCATGCCTTACATTGTAAGAATGTATTTCTAGACATAACATTGAAGGTGCTTCATGGGAACAATGGAAATTTCTTGCCTAATATTTCCTGGAAGGTCTTAAAAAATATGCAGATTTCTCACACCCAATTTCTTTTCAGCATGCTCCACGAATAAAAGTCAACAAAGATTTAAATCAGGTCACCACAGAGGCCACAATCTTAGACTTATGATTCAGTATAATGCATATAATGCATTTATAGAATATTTCACAGTGTGTACCTTTGCATTTTCTTATATTAAATGCCTATATGTTCTTTCTTCATCAATCAATTGATCGAGGAAAGATGACAGAATTAGTCTCACATAAAGCCAAAAATTTGTTTCATGAAAAACATGGGCCCAGTTACCTTCTGTACAATAACTGCTGACCAAATCCCAATTTTTAAATACTACAGTGACATTTCATAGACAGCATCAGATTTTTCTGTACTCCATTGTCTGTTATTCTGGCTGTTTATGTAAGCACAAGAAGTGCACCATGCCTTGTGAATGAAGAATGTAAGTTCTTGTTTAAGAATTCTATTGAATACTGCTTCTTAAATCACCTAGAGTACTGAATTATTGCTGCACAATCTGGAGGCAAAAGGTTATTTATGATTGTAGTTTTGTTGTTTTGTAAGGCTGTAATTTTGTAACATTATAATACTGTGTGCTGTACTTTTTGCCAACCCACAGTGAAGAGTCAAAACGTATAACAGCTTCATGGGTTTGCTTCTGAGTACTGTTGTTATTAGATTTATCTTGTCAATAAATCTTCCTCGAAATTTCTTTTCATCCAAAACTAATCCTGTGGAACATCATTTTGTTACATTATTGTGAATTGTTGCTCTACGTGGTACTTTAATATCAGGATACTTCCTACAAAATTTTCTAGGACATTTCTTTCATGAAGAATGCTATACAAAATTACCATATATTAATAGCTGCTCTTTAACACCATATTTAATTTTTGAACACCGTAGTTCACAACCCTGTGAAGTGTATTTACATGTATCTCAAGGATGACTGACCATGCTAAATAAGCAGTGTGATCAAGATAAGCCAGCAATCATTGGGTGGCTAAATGATGATTCGGCAGCCAGCAGTGGACAGGTGTGAGCAAATATACTTCTAGTTGCTGGTCTAAGAATAAATTCGATTTTCTGTAGAAAGACTGTAAATCAAAGAGTCTGGTGAAAATATACATTATTAAATTATACATAACTATGTTACTGCATTTAAACATACTCAAATTAAATAAAGAATGAATAATTTATAATTGTTTTAATGTACATCAAATTGTTATAGACTTTTTTAAAGAAACTAACTCTATGAAACAGAGTCATTTTGATAAGCTGAGGTCACTCAGTTAATCAAAATATTTCTTGCCTTTTATGCAAGCCAAACTTTCATTACAATATGTACAAGACTTCACTGAGTTCCACAAAAGGTGGAGAATTTCGTGACCAATTGAGTGACTGTCTGTTTTTCAAGAAAGACTCTGCTCCACAGAGCTAGTTAACTGCTCTCTCTGTTAACAGATGGTATTCTGTGGAGACAGTACCAGAGAACTGAATATAAAAACAGAGTAGAAGGTTGCTAGCAAAACTATATGGTATGTTACACCTAGTGAATTCAAACTACTGATGAAAAATAAAGCTATTTTCATTTCTGGTTTTGTCCTAAGTTACATGAATTTTAATTTAAAGGGCAGTTTATAGTATTCATTCAGGTAAAATTCTGAAAAATATTTTTGTGAAATGAAAATATTCAAATGTGTAATTATGTTTTGTATGATTTCAGTGATTCAATACAACTGGTATGTGAGACCATGAAACGTCAAATAATCTCACGAGCATTTTATGGCTGGTTAGCATATTGTCGTCACTTATCCACAGTGCAGACACATCTCTCAGGATTGGTGAATCAGAGCATTGTATCTCAGGATGATCCCTGCAATGCCTCTGAAGGACTCACACGTGAAAAGTGGAATCACATGAATGTTAATGGTGTAATTACTGACAAGGCAGAAGTGTTTCGCCTCACTTATTATGGCGGTGTATGTCATGAAATCAGGAAAGAGGTAACTCTGCAGAGTTGAGTATGAGTTGTTGAGTATATGGGTGCATTTACTTGCATATAAAAATAGACTTCAAAGGGCATGCACATACAACCATATGTGCTACTCTTGCTTGTATAGGACTTATGACAAGTTAAAGGTTCTATTTACTTGGTGAAACTATTGTAATTTTGGATGGTATATTCTTTGGAATTTCTGTTCAGGAAATAAGACAAAATTTGCCATGACTACCTAGTATGACCATCATTGTATCCTATAAACACAGTATAACAGAATATTCTTCCAGTTCAGAAGCATGTAATGAAGCTATTCATTGTAATGAATGGGGTACTGATATGCACTAAATATGATTCTTATTACTAAAATTATGGAAATATGATACTGTCTGTAAGAGAGGGGTAGTATTCAAGTTTAAAGCCGAACTTGGTCCTTAGAAGCAAAGGGTCCACTTTGCACATTCTTATGTTCTGTTCTACATTTAGTCATCTATTTATTAGCTTTACCTTTCTAATTACACAAGTATCTTCTTCCTGAATAGGACAATGGTAATGGTAATGCTAATTCACACATGCACACACAAAATCAGGAAATATCTGCCAAGTACGATTGGTCATGAATAATTTAAATAAAGATAATTTTTATAAAATATTTGAAGGATAAAAAGGATTAGGTAAAAATTATAAATACTCACATACTGATGTATATTTTCTACCCCTTCATGACAGACTACTTTCTAAATCAACCCTCATCAATATTAGCTGATACATATACCAGTTAGCAACCTGTATAGTCTTCTGATTTACATGTTGTTATGTCTCAGTGTCATTCCAAATCTCAATGGGACTCTGTTACTCTGAATAGAGTTTGAACCTGATATTAAATTTATTTGCATTTCCTATATCATGTTATCCCTCTGGGTCTAAATGTTGAAAACATAGGTTTAATTCTGGAGCAATCAAGTTTTCTCAAAACATCAAACAAATCTGCACTTGAGTACCAATTAGTTCTAGTGAAAAGAAATAAGCAAGGATATAACTTGATTGAAATCAAATATCTAACGAAATAATATTATAACATGGATGTTTCAGATGTGGCCATATCTGCTTGGACACTATCGATTTGGCAGCTCACCAGAAGACAGGCAAGAATTAGACCTTGCAACACAACAGAGCTATGAAACCACCATGTCAGAATGGTTGGCTGTGGAAGCTATTGTTAGACAGAGGGACAAGGAGACAATGGCAGCTAACCTTGCTAAGCTCTCTTCAGAGAGCACAAGTGGAGATGTTCCACCACCCACTCCTGCCATGGCACAGGACCTGAGTAATGATGTAAGTTACAGCTTATTAAAAAACACAATGTTCTGTATACTTTCAGAGAACAGTATTCCTTTCATATTGAACATGAAATGTTTTTAACTTCTTGAGATTCCCTACTTTTCCTAGATTCCCCATTTTCCTTTTTCATAATTTCCAAGATATTTCTTGTAACTTATAATGAAATCACTATTTATCCATTGTAAATTTAACATTAAAATTTTGATCACATTGCTGAAAGATAAGGATGGCTTGGGAGATCTAGTGAAGATGGAAGAATAATATTAAAATGGCTCTTAGTGCAAAGGATATGAGAGTGCAGAGAGCATTCAGTTGACAGGCTTTTATGAACATGGTAATGAACGGAAGATAATTTATTGACTGGATAGACAACTACTAGCTTCTCAAGAATGAGTCTATTCTATGAAGTTAGTCACTTTTTAACAGTCTCTTACAGGAGAGCCTTTTATTATTATTTTTATATTTATTATTTAATTACATTCCATTAATTCATACAAGGTCAAATGGTCTACAGGATATGGAAACTGTCATTATAAATATAAAACAATAGTATAAGAGTAAATTTCACATACATGTCATAAATCTTACAGTATCCATCTGAAACAAGTATGGTAATAAAAGTAAATTAAAACTATTAACTAAATAATGTTTAATTTGAAAGCCACAGTTATGTTAAGAAAGGAAAATTTATATTTCTGGCCCTTAAAAATTATTATTCTTTTGTTTTAGTATTTTTGCACATTTGATGGTGTCATTTAAAGCAAAATTTCCTTTGAATTTGAATTTATTTAAGTTCTGTAAATCTAAGTAAAGGTTGACACCATAGGATATGGAAAAATTCTAGTACAAATACATAATATCTGTGTGATAATAGTCTTGCCTGGAAAGTTAATATTATTACTTTAGGCATATTACTATAGAAGAAATTTTCAAAGACTGGGCATTGAATTTGACAATTTACTGAATATACATGACATAAAGACCTGCTTCTGTTTTTAATTTGTTAAAACTTTCCATTGCATAAGGGGAAAACCACTTTAAATTGATACATCCGGATGAAAGAGCACATACTCAAATAAAGTCGACTCATATCCTACATTTCAGTCTACCTGCACACAAATTACTTTCAAATTAATGTCATTTAAAATTTCAAAATTTGATAATTTTTTCTTTGGTAATGTAAAGCCTAAATGTTTTCTTTTTTAAACTGCAGGTGTTTGAAGATAACCTGAGTCTTCTTTCTGATAATGATATTGGAGATGAAGCAGAAACTGCGAAACATAATGGTGAGACTGCACATGGTGATGAAGAAGATGACCACTTTGTTCGTTGTCCGCCTAATTCTTTGGAAAACAACCAAACAGATTTTGAGGAACAGTATTTTCCTTTGCAATACAGCAATTACCCAAATGACTCTGGAAGAAATGGTAAAGTACTCTCCTGAAATCTGCTTACATAAAAACTAGGTTGCTTATGTGAGATTTGAAGTTTTAATGTAGTGGTGAAGATTTAGATGTTGTCTTTTGAAGGATGGCAATCTAAATTATTTTGTATAGTAAGGAAATTTTGAGTTCATTAAAGGCCAGGAAATTTCTGACTAGCTGGGCAACTGGCAGCTTTTCAAGGATATCTCTTAGAGGTAGCTTCCAGGCATGTTGTATAACAAAGCAAATGTGTTTACTAGCTTCGCTAATGCTGTCTCTTACTCCATACAGATTCCTTTTTGAATAGGCTACTTAATGATGCATTCAGTGTCGAGATTATATAGCATCAAGTCTGGGTGATTAATGAATGTGAAGCAGTTGGCCAGATGAGAATTGGGAGGGGAAACCAAAGTTCTTGAAAAAAATGCCTTTTTTGCCACTTTGTCCACCACAAATCCAACATGACCTGACCTGGAGTCAAGCCCTGGCCACTGTAGTGAGAAGCTGTTAAGTAACTGCCTTCCACATAAACTAATTTTGATAAAGGTTGAAAGTAATAATTTCTATTAACCTTTTCATTCAGAAGATTTCTGTTGTCAGATGGATATTAGGAACTGATTTTTAGCCTACTTTCCTTATTCTGAAAGAAAAAAAAATGAAAGGAGGCTTATGAGATGACCTTGTTGTTTGTGTCTGTGCATCCCTCTTTAACGCCTGAAAGCCGAAATAGTGGAGCCAGAAGACACCTGTCTGTGCCTGTATGTGTATCCCCCCATCATTACTAGGCATCTGCTAGGTAAATATGTTCCCATGGCAATGAATACACAAACAATAGAAGAATTGTTGGACATGACATTTTCTATGCAATTTGTGTCAAGTCACAGAAAATTGTTTGTATTTGTATGTGTATCGTTGACAGGGAACAGCTTTTTAAACATATTCCCACAGTAACAAAAACTAGTAGACAAAATATTTTCTGTGTGGTCCATGTCATATCAAAGGAAAGTAGGCAATTAGTTCTTCCATAACGTTTCTCATATTACATGATTTGAATAAATATACACAAATTTGTTTCACATCATATTCTCTAATTCATTTCAATCACCATCTTCATCACGCATCACCAAAGTGGTAATATGTGCTCATTAGCAAGAAGAGACTTGTTTTTCATTGTGCTGTCATGGCTACATCATAGTTTGATGTTTACTTTCTTTCTAACATATAACTGAAAATCTAAACAATATACAATTTAAAAACGCTTTCATCAGATAATCAAAGATATGAGTTCATGACGGATGCCCTGAAACTAAACAAATATAAATGTACTGTATTTTCATCCTAGTGAAAACAAAGTCAGACAATGTGAACACCTGTTTTGCCACTTTCATTTGTGTACGCTCTTGTCAGAAGGTTAAAACTAGTTACTGATGAGATACTTTTGGAAGAAATTAAGAGAGAATTTCCACTTCACTGTAGGTCCAATTGACTTTCCAAATATATCTTATGCACTTTCATGGAAAACTAACTTAATTTTTTGATTATGTCATATGAGATGTTGTATGATGTACATACCCAGTTGCCAAGATATTGGTGGTTTCCCTTTACCTTGAGATTTGACTAACATTTTTTTTAAAAGGTCATACTCCAACAGTGGAGAGTACTGTCTTTGGGTACATGATGCTGTGTAGTTTACAGAGAAGATAGAACTTTTCAAACTAATCCTGTTTCTATCATATAAATATTATCTGTTAACACTAGGAGTTCCTTGTTATTATATTGAAAACTGAATATTACATACTAATATGACAGAAGCTGTCATGACTCATCTGCGTAACAAGGCATTCTGTATTAAAATGTAGCATCTAATATTACCTCACCAATAAGACAACAGCTGATTTAAAAATTTATTTCTTTAAAATTTTCAGGTTCTGCAAATGGCAAGTCTGTTGCAGAAAAACAAAATGGAATTTATAAGAAATTAAATGGGATTTCTGAAGAGAAGGTCAGAAAAGGAGATAAAATTCTCAATGGTATTGTTGAAGAAGATGAAACAACCACAATTCCATGCTCACTGATTTCAAAAGAGAAACACAATGTAGACAGCTCTTTCAGCAACTCTCTTGCTGAGAGTGTCGGCAGACTGGTCAATGGTTATAATTCACAAGTAGAACAGGAAAATAACCAGGTAAGCTGAGCCTAAATAGGTGTAGTTTTTACAGAATTGGTTTTGAAATACTTCAGTTCAAAATATAGGACACCACTTTGGTGGGAGTGGGGCGAACTAACAAATTGTCTTGTAATATAAATCAAAAGTTCAACAGAAAACAATTCTAGAATCTGCCAATCATCATTGCCCACGGCCAGTTCAGACACCACAGCCTATTTAATTAAATTACATCTCCAGTATTATCCTACAATTTCATATATAGTCTTCCAAATTACTTATTTCAAAAAGGTTTCCTCAACAAAATATTTTCTGTGCTCCCTTCTTATGAACTGCATTTTCAGTGCATCTATCCTTGATTTTACTGTCCTAAAAATAACACACAATGCTTAATTTAAAATTTTCTTATTGTGCAATGTCCTGTATTCCCCACATCATTTATTCAGCCCTCTTGAGCACAAAATTAAATAACAAATGGTTGCCTTCTTTTGGAGAATTAATAATAATACTTTATTCCATTTCAAATTGCTCCAGTTGGCTATAACTAATATGTCTTGTAAGGAAGATGGGAAAATTTCATGCATATAGGGTGCTGGCAGTTTTGCTATAGAACAAAGTTCCATATGTTTCACTATTACTGAATGTATCCTAATTTATCTTCAGATGTTTATTTTCGAGTGTCTGACCATCAGTCTCTCCAGATGGTATGGTATGTTAAATAAGACACTGACCATTCCTACAAAATCCATTTTCAATGTTTATTGCAAAACTGTGACTTAAGTATTAGTATACATTAAGCTGATATATCAGTTATGCTATAACTTTCAGTAATACAACAGCATAACATATAAAGAAATCGAGATAGGCTCAACGATATGTAAATAAATAAATACAGTGGTTTACATATATTATTATAGAGAAGAAGAAGCATAATCTGAGGGATGCTGATGCTAATTTGCAAACTGTGTAACATCTTCTACTACATATGAACCAATGGAACAAATCATTGTGTGTAACATTAATATAAAGAGAAATAACTACAATATTGAATTCGCCTAGCAGAAAAATAACTGTAACTAAGTATCAATAAGTAAATAAAAAAATTTGGTTGTAAATCCTATTAATCATTGCTGTGTGTTGATGATTCAGGCAATTAAATCACCATCTCCAGATGAAGGAGTGGTGGAAGATGAAGATGTAGAAAGAGGAACAAAGAACGGTCATGCTGGAAACAATCAACTAGTACAAAAGAAAATACATAAATGCAGTAAGTATGCATATGAAATACTCTTTCTTTTATATTAAGACAACATTCTTCAGTCAGAATTCTATAATATTAGAAATTCTTGAGTAAAACCATCTACTGTTTTCATGAACAACAGAGTCAATGCTTTTTTCAGCTGGTACTGGCAAACAACTGGTAAACTTGCCATGAGCTAAAGTGCACATATCTTCCAGTACATCATCTATTTCGACCTTGGGACTAAAAACAAATATGAAAGTACTAGCAAATATGTTTTCAGGAAAAAACATTTTTAATAAGCTGTTACCCAGCAATGGTAGTGGGATACACATACAGACACACAGACTGATTGGAGGGATTTATGAATTATGGTGTTGAGATAGGCTCAGGTGTCATGATATGCATTACCAAATTTCATAGAGATTGGTTTGGCCATTCAAAAGTTGATGGTGGGGAGGCGATTACACAGACACACAAACAGAATGGTGATTGCATAAGCATAATCTTTTCAAAATAAGGAAAGTGGGCTAAAAACTGAAGTATGATTTTTTTCAGAACTTGCACATCAAAAATTTCAACTTCATATCTAGATAATATTTCCAGAACAAAGTAGAACCAAAACTCACATATTTATTGATAAAGTATATTTAAACATCCTCTTGAACATTTAAATTTCTGTATCTGCCAGTGAAAGGGATAACAAAGATTATTTGCCTATGAAATATTACAGAAGCAAGAAAGTTTATAGCCAAACTATGTCTTCAAAAGAACACTGCATGTGGATTTTACTTTTAAGTATAAGATATATAGATCTCATCAAAATGTAGATCTAATAATTCTTATTGGAAGGGATTTATTTATTGTACTATATTTTTCTGTTGCTTTTCCTGGAACACTTTATGACATGATTTTAAAACTAGTGTGGTAAATATTCCAGAGTCATCAAACCAGCGTCCGTTACAGTCAGCTGCAGTCATAGTAACTACTAATCCATCAGTAGATAGTGGTAACCAGTCTGACCCATACGTTGAAGAGCCATGTGAGTCATTACACACCTTAGTCTTCTTTGATTTCTCAGAATCAATGACATAAACTGAAGGCTGAAAGCTAAAAACCTTAAGGTATCAACCTTAAAATAGGATTACAAGTAATGGTATGCCTCTTGCCAGAGGAATAAAAATTCAGTGATACAGTAATACATAAAAGTCAGTAAACTTCACTCTTTGAAGCCAAAATGAATTTTACAATACACTTGCAGTTATCTGGGCTGATGGGGGAAGCATCACAAATGCATAGTAACTCAGGGTAGTATTTATGAATTCGGTGCTAGTACATTACTAATGTCAGAGCCCAAGCTACTGTTAAAACATGATGCTTAATCAGACACGTGAGGTAATAATAAAATACCTGAACTTGGAAAAGTTTACTAATTTAAATGAATCAAGTTATCTTATGTTAAATTAAAAAAAATGCAAATGCAGCACATGTAAAATACTGCCCTATTCTGTCTAGTCAAGGTCTAGCATTATTATTTTATTCAGATTCTATAGAATTGAATGGCAGGATGAGTGGTAAACAAAAGAGTTGAAGAGGCTTCGGAGAGGAAGCACTCAATGATTAATTGATGTACTATCCTGATATTCCCTGCAGGGACTGAGAAAAACGATGAAAACCTTAGCCAGGATAGCCAGTCTCCTGTCAAGATATACAAGTCTACAGCGTTACTGCTACTCCAACATGCTTGGTACATGGATGGTCACTAGCTGACTTTTACAGTTTCTGAGCTAATTCCTAATTTCCATTTGAAATTGGGCTATTTGTATAAAAGGCTCAGCGTTTAATTGAATTTACATTCCGCTTGAAGAATCTTATACTCGTAATTCAAATCACATGTTCACCCATATTTTTCACTAAATTTTTGGTTTCATATGTACCAGTGTTATGAATGAATACATACAGAAGACTGTGAAGAATATTTTACACATTTTCAGTTTAACAAACCTCTTACATTTTCATGTTCATTCTATTACATATTATATATTTTGTAGCAGTAAAACATTGTTTATGACTTAATGTATGCAACGACCTGAGGAAGAATGATGTTTCTCTTCATTCATTAGTAATCTGTCAAGACGACAGGTCCAGAATCCCTTCCAAAACAGTTCCTCCACTTGATGCGATCTAGAGCTTTCTCCTTCAAATGAAAATATCCTCTTCTGTCCCCAAGGTCATCCAGCATCTTCTTGCATCTTCTTCCTCATCTTCTGATCACTTCTATCCGCCCCCTCTATCTTTCCTTCTATAACTTCTTTTAGAAGGCAGTTACCACGTAAGATATGACCAATTCAATTAGCCTTCTATTTTCTTATTTCGCATAGGATATTCCTCTGCTCACTGACTCTAAATAACACTTCTTCATTTCTCACATAATCGGTCCAACTGATCTTCTCCATCCTTCACCAACACCACATTTTGAATTAATATGTTGCTGGGCATTATCCATCATCTTGTCTGTTCTTAAAAACCGTCTAGTTTCAATTAAAAACACAACGTTTCGGGAACTGGAATCTGTCCCCGTCTTCAGGTAAAACCTACTCAGTTGGGTCCAATAGACAGAGCAACCCCCTATCTCCGGAAGACGGGGACAGATTCCAGTTCCCGAAACGTTGTGTTTTTAATAGAAACTAGACGGTTTTTTAAGAACAGACAAGATGATGGATAATGTCCAGCAACATATTAATTGTAACAATTTACCATCATCACAAACTTTTAGATCTTATTTACCACATTTTGAAGCTTTCCAGGTGTTTCTGGTGTACTGCCCTAAGTGTCCAAGTTTCAGCCCCATACACAGCAATGCTCCAAATGTAGCTTTTCACTAGTTTCTTTGTCAAATTTAAGTCCAATTTGCTGGTAAAAAGAGTCTTCTTCTTGCTAAATGCAGCTTTTGCCATGTGAATCCTAGATTTAATTTCACACGTACACCTTCCATCATCTGTTAACAAGCTACACAAATATTTAAAACATTTCACATTCTCCAGTTGTTTTTGTTCTATCTTTATTGTGACTGGGGTTGGTTGTCTCGAAATTTTCATTACTTTTGTTTTTTCCACATTCATTTCCATGCCATAGCACCTTATAACTGCTAAATTTGGAAAAGTCACATGGGGAGAGTAAAATTAATGCAAGAAGTTTTAACTTAGTTATTGGTAGCAAGATGATATGCCTTCTGCTAAGATCATTGAATTGACAGAATTGTAAAGCACCTTCAAGACTAAAACATCAGCTTGGAGTTCTATGTGAAATGACTAGTAAGAACTTCAGAGGGATAGGGATACGTATGAAAACACGTTAAAAATAATAACAATAAAAACATTTTTGAGAACAAATTGTTCTTCCAGTTCTGTATTTAATTTTAAAAGGGACTACATTTGTTTACTGGCTTTGAAGTTTTGGTACTGTGGTACAGGTGATCACTTGCTGACACCACATGACGAGGAGAAGGAAGGACTAGATACTCTTGCTGTCACAGAAGAAACTGCTGAGGGCAATAGTCAGGGCTCTCGTTCAACTTGCATCTCCCCAGCAAGCTCACAGGGTGGGGTATATTCGGTATGTTTATAATCAGTTCAGATATTTTATGACTAATTGAAGAATGCCTCAAAGATTCCCAAGAATTGCACATTACGGCATGTTCTTTGTGTGTACTGGTAATTTTACGTTGTTCTTTGGACTGTGGATCCTAGAGATCTATGTTGTCCTGCTGCAGCTCAAAACTACAGTGAATAAAATTAATTTATTTATAACTTGAAGCATGTTTATATCTAGCATATACAAACTGTATGTCTTTGACACTGCAAAGAAAGATTACACATTCTACATGGTAGCAAAAATCAAGGACTGAAGTTTTGGTCTTTGGTAAATTAAAAACTCACAAGTTAATAGCTGACTAGTTAAATCATGGCTTCACGAATACTGCTGAACTGGAAAATATGCTCTCCCATAACAGTTGGAAGGCAAGCAAAACCTGTGCTGCATTTGACCACTACCATGATAAGGCATTTAAATTCCACAAAACTTAATGTTTCATTCACATTTACTCTAAGTATTGAAATTTAATTAAAGTTTGTATATATAAATTAAAAAAAATCCAGTTAAATAGTGATTACCTTCATAGCATTCATCACTGTGTATTTATTTCACTATTTATCTTACTATAGATGGAGCTTCTTGAGACATTTGGCTTAAATCTTCACCGCATAGACAAAGACGTGCAGCGCTGTGATCGCAATTATTGGTACTTCACAGCTGAGAATCTTGACAAATTGCGTAATGTTATGTGCACGTAAGTTTTCACTGCACACATAAAGTAAGCCATTACTGAATGTTAAGTATGTACCTATGCTAAGGTAAGTTTATGACTTCATCAAAAATTGTACTACATCATTCTTAATCCAGGAAAGGTGTAGGTTAATCTATTCTCTAGAATCTCTTCCAGAAACAGAATTTCAACTTAATTCTTGAACACATTTGCATGCAGCCATATTCATAGCATCACCATACTTCATTTACTTTGTAGTTATATCAAATTAAACTGATTCCATGGAGAAGGGTCCTTCTTGAGAAATGAATTGCCATTCAGGTAGTCACAGAATTCATCACTATTTACAGAACCTGGAGGTTTATTATTGTGTTTGTAAAGGCTACCCATTGATCTGTGTCCCGTATCAGATGAATCTACTTCACATCGTCATATCCTATTTCTTTAAAATACATTTGAACATTAACTTTTCACCCATATTAGTCTCCCAACTGATGTCTTCCCTTCATGTTTCCTGATCAAAATTCTGTGTGTATTTCTTATTTCTCCCTTGCATGCTACATGCCATGTGCACTTCATCTTCCTTGATTTTATAAAGTTGAGTTAAGTTATAGTTATTAATATGAACTAATTGTCACAGTCTTTGTGATGATAAGTTCATACCTTTATTATGTATTACATATTTAATGGTATATTATACTTAACCATATTTGGCAACCTTTATTTTGCAATTTTAATGATATTGAGAGGCAGAGGCAGAATATGTTCTCCAGGACACATGACATTATCAATAATTTTTTCTTGTATGAAAATACACTGTTGTATAGAAGAATATAAAAAAGGAGAATAGGAATGCCAAGAGGATGGAGACTAGCAACTGACAGAGCCTATAAAAGATTTATGCCCCATATTAAATTCATTAGTAATTACATACTTCAAAGAAGATGGAACTGTGAAATCTGTATGCAATAAAATGGTAACAGCTATAATAAGAACTTGTAATTGTTCACATCTGTATTGTAGAACTGTAGGATTATGAAATAACCAGAAGTTGCATGGGAGGGATGATTTGTAACTGTAACTCATAAATTACTAATGCATGTAATCATGTTTTGTAGGTGACTTAAATATTAATGTTCAGTTATTCTATACATAATCATGATTTAATTCTGTACTTCTGGTGCCTACAAATTTTGTAAATGTTGACAGGGCACATAAATAAGTAAAGTGCTGACTATGAAATGAATTCTTCAGTGGATGTGAAGCACAGAGTGCTTCACTGAACTGCTTCTTTCGAAACATTCTCAGGACTCACTGCTTCATATTATAGTGGCTGTGTGAGGCTAACAGAATTTCCCATTGTCTTAAAATTGAAATTCAATTTCATCATGTAGGAAGAAAATGGAGCAGTTGGGAATTGAAAGTTCAGAGTTTCAGACCATATAAATATCATGTACATAAGTTAAATGGAATTCTTGTGTAAGAATTAGAGGCAGTATTTTATGGGTAAACTTCACACAATAATTCTTTTTATTTTTCAGGTATGTCTGGGAACATCTTGACATGGGTTATATGCAAGGAATGTGTGATTTGGTTGCACCACTTCTTGTCATATTCGATGATGAGGGTACAACTTATTCATGTTTTTGCCGTCTCATGGAGAGGATGGGTTCCAATTTCCCTAATGGTGGAGCTATGGATACACATTTTGCTAATATGAGGTACCTACATTACACAGTCTTTCAGGTTTGGTATATCATCTGTCACTAATTGAACTCCACTATAACAGACCACTGTTATTCACAAGATTACATAAGTGGTAAGAGGAATTCTCATAACCAAGATACATCATAATCTTGCAGTTAATCCATCTGTTATAATTACCAGAGGAACGCCCACTGAAAATGAACATAACAAAATTTAAATGACAAGAGGATATTATTTTAATGGCCTCTAGGATAAACTGTTCTGTAATGTATGTCACTGTTGTAACTTTTCATGAGTGAACAATTCCAAATGTGGAACTCAGAAAAATATTCTTGATTTACACTGTTTCAAAGGCTGTGCCATAGCTCAAGCGGTTAGTCCCTGGCTTACCACCACAGCGGCCCGGGTTCGATCCCGGGTCTGGTCAAGTGGGATTTGTGGTGGACAAAGTGGCGCTGGGGCAGGTTTTCTCTGCGCACTTCAGTTTCCCCTGCCAATCTTCATTCCACCAATTGTTCCACAATCACCCTCACCTATCATCTGGGGCTGGTACAATAGGCCAGAAGTGGCCGCAGTACAAGGGACTTAGTCCCAACCCACTAGCAATAAAAAAATACAGTGTTCAAAGAAAAAGGTGTTATTAGAGGCATAGTTTTCCCATTATTTATGTCTGAATAATTACGGACATAGAAAATATTTTCATTTCGTTCAATTGTATGTTTCCAGTATGAGTATAAGGTTAGGGGCAAACCTTGTTCCATGCATGTCATAGGTTCCCAGATATCGGAGCAGTAAATATACTGTGTTGCTAAATACTCCATAACTGAGGATAATTGAATTGCATGGTCCACTAATAGTATATCAGATTAAATGTAGTCAAAACTATCCCTTGTATCTAAACACTGCTATGGGGTGTATAGGAGGCATGGATTTGAAGCCCCACACATTCCACACCTTGGCACTAGAGGGAGGTGAGCAGTTGGCTTTACTCATCAGATGCTTGACCTCCTTCCCTCAGGAAAGGGCTCTCATTTCCTATACAATAGGAGGCTGTTTGGCCCAGAGCCAGTCTGGATTTCATGGAACAGACAAAAATCCCTATGCCTGTGTGAATCAAAGCCCAGGCATTCATCCTGTAGACAGCTGCTTTACTGTTTGAGCTGTCTTGCTTTAAATGAACAAAATAGCATTTAAACAGTGACTTCAGGTATCTAAAAGGAAAACAGGTTATTGTGCTTCTTAGTAAAATGTAGGACAGAATCATCTCGTGTGTGTGTGTGTGTGTGTGTATATATATAAGATAATCAAGGTACATAAAATGCATACAAAAGTATGCAGTCTACACAACAATATTCTGTATTTAAAACAAAGTAGACACTAACGTATCAACATTTGTTTATATTGACGCTACATGTTTTGAATCCTTATACTGGGTCATCATCAGGCGTACAATGATACTAGACTCAGTTGTTGAATTGCATCTAATTCTTCAATAAGGATCCTTATTGTGCACTTGAGTGTTTTTAAATGTATAAATTGAGTCTTTCCGTTAAAATTTTAAAATACCCAGATAATAAAATTTAAAAAGAGTCAAAACATGTAGCGTCAATAAAAAAGAACTTTGATACGATTTTATTTATATATTTATTTGTAATTACATTTGTGGGAACATCCCACATTATCACGCATTTCTGCAACGCTCGCTCTTCACATCACTTTTCACCATCACGCGCGCTAACCAATCAGATTGCTTCAAACGATCGCATTTATACTACGCTCGGCGCTAGCCCGCGTCTCA